AACTTATATTATATTAGAAATAATTTCTTTTTCTACTTTGGATGATAATGTGTTACAATAATGAATAACTCCTCTTTTTGCAAACTCTTCTTTACAAACTTTAAAATTTAAATTTGAAATTTCTAATATAAATACTCGAATTCTTCATCTCGAAAAATGTCCTATTGAAACATATTTATAAACAAATTAACATTTCTTTCCACTAACAAATTATGCATGAAATGTCATTTAAGCTAATATCACTTTAATTGTAAAATAAAAACGTAGCTTTGTTTATAAATGATAAAGACGGAGGTCATGTGATGTTAAGATTATAACTTTAACCTTCATATATGACGAGTTTTTCTCTAAATTTTTTGTGAAATTTATACTATTTTTAAATCAATATATTTATATTGCGTATAATATATATACAAGTACACTACTCACAATCAGCAAAAATTAAATTTTTTATAGCAGAAGCCAACCGATCCGGGTTCAACCGCACCCGAGTCGTAAGAGGGAATTTAACGGTTATAACTGGAATAAACCGTCTGGTCCCCTCGGTTTCCATTAACAGTAAAAATGGCGGAAATTTTATATATTTATTAAAAAAAAAAAAAAAACTCAAAAATTATTCTTGTCTTCATCTCCGTCCCGCACATAACTTCCATTCAATAGCTGTCATTTGTTATATTCCAAGAGAAACAGAGAATGTCATTGAAGCTTTATTCACACTCTTGTTTTTGGTCCAGAGCCAAGCTCGATGATGGCTTATCTGCAGGAATTGCTCGCAGAAGAAGGATTCGAAGGTGGAAAGTTGAAGAAGAATCAAAAGCCGGTGAAAATGAAATTTAGAAACAGAACTGTGGAGAAGGAGGAATCGGGAGGGCTGCCTATGTACGTCTGCTATGGTCGCAAAAGCTCCGATTTTGAGAATCAGAAGGTGGAGAAGGGTGTTCCGAGTAGTCGGTCGTCGGTGTTTTCCTCCAGAAGGGTGGATTCGGATTCAGGTAAGTCGAAGTCTAAGACGGTGAGAAGGGAGGATGAACTGGTGATTGATGACGTTGCTATTAGAGCTGTGATATCTATTCTTAGTGGGTATATTGGGAGGTATTTAAAAGATCAGAATTTTCGTCAAATGATTAGAGAAAAGTGCAAATCTTGTTTGGTGAAAAGGAAAATGGAATCAGATAACGGGACTTTTGCGAACGTGGAACAGGGCATCGAGAGCGTTGACAAATTGGTGGAGCATCCGGGGACGAAGAAAGAACTCAGGATGAAATCGGTCCGCAATTCAATTCAGATTTTGTCCGTTGCTGCTACCTTGAATTCGAAGAAAACAAGGAACGGGTCTATTTCTGGAGTGCCCAATTCGTATCTGTCGGCGATTGCTCAGTTATACTTATCCATAGTGTACAAGCTGGAGAAGAACGACAGAATCTCAGGCAAGCATTTGCTTCAAGTTTTCTGTGATTCGCCATTTCTGGCGAGAACCCATTTGCTTCCTGATCTATGGGAGCATCTTTTCCTTCCCCACCTTCTTCATCTCAAGGTTTGGTACCAGCAAGAACTTGAATTTCTCTCCACTTCGGGTTATGGTGAGAAGGAGAAGAGAATGAAGTCTTTAAGCAAGGTTTATAACGGGCAAATGGATTTGGGAACGTTTAAGTTTGCAATGTACTATAAACAGTGGCTTAAAATTGGGGCTAAAACCCCTGCTATGCCTGACGTGCCTTTGCCTTCAGCACCTAGCTATGGATCGTCCAGTAGGAGATCATCGGATTCTCTTACCTCGAATTCTTCTATCAACAAAAACCTGTAAGTATAATCTATATGTTCTAATCTTTTTCATGTGATTGCATTCAGAATTTGATTAACTTATGTTGCTTTCTATATTTTGGTTCATGGAAGATATCGAGCTGTGTTTGGCCCCATGGACTTCAATAATCAAAACAGAGATACATGGGGTCTCATCAAGGAAGAGGGAGATATCTGTAAAGATGAAGATAACTACAACGCTTTCAATCTTGTTCATGTGGGTGACTTTGTCTCTTTGTCTGAACTTTGTTTATTCTAATTTTTTAAAGCTATAGCTAAATTTGAGGTGTCATCTATATTTCTGAATTTGACAGAATAAAAGAGTGACACAACCACGGGCATCAAGCCAGATTTATAGAAATCCGAGAACTGAATTATGGCCGGAGATACAGAAATTGCATTATTTCAGATTCTTTCCTTGCCAGGGCGCGCCAACAGAATGCATTGCGAGCAGCAATCATGTGATCAGGAATAATTCAATCAAACATAAAGAAAATACTCATCTTCCCTTGAGTGATCTAAGTAGAGCCATTAGTACCCTTTGTTCCTCAGATAGTGTAAAGGAGTGTGAAAAAGCAGTCCGTGTAGTGACCAAAGCTTGGCTGAACTCACATGGTGATCCTGCCATTGAAGCTGATCTGACAAAGGCACCAGTAATTGAGGGCATGCTCGAGGTTTTGTTCATTTCCAATGATGATGAAGTTCTAGAATTAGCAATATCAGTTTTAGCAGAGTTTGTAGTTAGGAATGAGATAAATAGACAGATAATTCTCAACTTGGATCCACAACTGGAGATCTTCTTAAGGCTTCTAAAAAATAGTAGTCTATTTTTAAAGGCTGCTGTGCTGCTTTACCTGATAAAGCCAATGGCAAAGCAGATGATATCGAGTGAATGGGTGCCATTAGTCCTTCGGGTCTTAGAGTTTGGGGGAAAGCTGCAGACTCTATTAACAGTCAGGTGCAGTCCTCAAGTTGCAGCATTTTATTTCCTAGACCAACTCTTAACAGGTTTCAATGAAGATAGGAACTTTGAGAATGCTGATCAGGTTGTCTCCATGGGGGGATTGAGCTTGCTGGTGAGGAGTATTGAGATAGGGGGTGTTCGAGAGAGGATGAATGCCGCTTTGATCATGTCATGTTGTATTCGAGCTGATGGAAGTTGTCGAAACTACTTGGTAGATAACCTGAACAAGGCTTCTCTTCTTGAACTGATTGTTCTTGAAAACCACAAGGATTCTAAAGGGTGTGCTTTTGCGTTACTGACAGAGCTCCTCTGCCTCAATAGGTACAAAACCCATCTTCTCCTTTTCGACATTGTTCTCATTATGGTTTGAGAAGCTCGAGTTTATAGTCTGATGGTCTAACAAAACTAACAGGAGAACACAGATCACAAAATTCTTGAGTGAACTGCAAAATGGATGGGATGGCTTGAACACCATGCATATGTTGTTAGTCTATCTCCAAAGAGCCTCACCAGAAGAATGCCCACTGGTTGCAGCAATCTTGTTACAGCTTGATCTTCTGGTAAACTAAATAAGATTAATGCTTCATTCTTCCATTTATTTTCTAGTTTTTCAAAACCAAATGACTCATGAATGTTCCCCTTACCCTTAAGAAGTATTGTGTTATGTTGCAGGGAGATCCTATGAGGTGCAGTGTGTACAGAGAAGAAGCAGTTGATGCAATTGTAGAAGCTCTAAATTGTCAAATATGCAATGAGAAAGTTCAAGAGCAATCTGCAAGAGCTTTAATGATGCTGGGAGGCTGCTATTCTGGCAGGGGCGAGGCAACAACAGAGAAATGGCTTTTACAAAAAGCAGGTTTCAGCAACAACTTATGTGATTCCTTTCATGACACGGAAATGGTTAATGATATCTTGGTAAGCTTGACATTACATTAATGCTGGCATGACGCAAAAATTGGGTTATTCTCCCTCTTATTGAGTTTTCTCCCTTTTCACACAGTTTGACAGTTAGATTTTGTTACTCGTCTTAAGCTGAAAAGATGGTTAGAATCATTGTTGATTTACAACATTTGTTCCTTTTATTCATATTGTGATAATTAGAATGAAGAGAAAGATGAAATAGAAGAATGGCAAAAAAAAGTGGCAGTTGCCTTGCTTAATAGTGGGAATAGGAGATTGTTGTCTGCCCTCTCAAATTCCATAGCTAATGGCATCCCAAATTTAGCAAGGGCAAGCCTCTCCACAGTTGCCTTGATTAGCAGTTTTCTCCACTCAATTGGTGATCAAGATTTCCAGTCTATGGTGTGTTCAATTCTCATGCCACGTTTGCTTGAATCGTCCAAGTATGACAGTGCTCCTGAGGAAAGGTTGCTTGCTTCTTTCTCATTGCAATTCCTAAGAAAAATTTCAGGTAAGATAATCTTTAGGAAAGGTTGCTTGGTTGTTATTTACTTGCCCCATTCTAATTTAGTTGTCCTACTCCCTCCATTCCAATTTAGTTGTCCTACTTGACTAAATTTGAGTGTTCCAATTTTATTGTGAAACTTGGTATTTATATGAGACATTAAATTTTATTATTTCAACTTTATCTCTATTACTTGAGTTTATTTATAAAGATAATAAAACTTTTGTTAGGGGTAAATAAATTGTTTTAACATCCAGTTATGGAGTTTTAATCTATTCTTAAATTGTCTAAGTATGTGTAGAGTCAAGAAGAGAGATAACTCAAATGAAATGGAGGGAGTTTATTGCAATTAAGTTCGGCAAATTCAAACTCCATTATTCTTTTAGCTTTTGGGCGTTTTTATGGTTTTGCGCACTAATTAACAGTTTTTAGTTGTTAAATGTTTGACAGAACGTAATTTTGTGCTCTCATCATTGGATAAAATGTTCATGAACACTCTTTCGAATCCTTCGTTACATGGAGATCAAAAGAGCGTATTTCAATCACTGAAATCATCTGAGGCCCCGGAATCTTGAGATACAATATCTGGAAGTTAAAGAAATAAAAGGAATTCGTCAGACCGAGATTCTGGAGACCTATACTCAAACGAGGTGATACTTGTTCAGAGTGATTCATCAAGGGTCCAAAGCTTTAATCTTCGTACGGTTTGCTACCTCTTCACTAGTACAAGTAGATGTAGTTTGCTTTACCTATAGACTATAGCAAGATTTGTGTGATTAAAGATGTATATATATCTTTATTTTTGGCCTTACATGTACCATATGTATCTGATCCTGTTAAGTGTAAACCCTTGTAGTTGTAGACCATCCCAAGGATTGTAAAACCGCTACTTTCAACCTGAAAAATGAAGAACTAGTGCCATCACAATCCAATGTCCAAGGCATCTACGAGTGTCATTTTGATTAGCAAGACTGTATGACCTCAAATCTCATCTCAGATTTTGCAAATATCGTACCATGATTAGGTGGCACAAGGATAGCAGGCTATGAGATGTTTGAATTCCATTGACATCACAATGTATCCAACAAAATGAGTTTCTAATGTTGTCATCAGTGAAGCGAAGGACAAATTGTTCCAATGTACAACACAATGCAAGTTGCAAGTAAAACAAACCTGTCCAATGCCATTTTCACAGTTCATGAAAAACGCTCTCCAATATTTTCTGGAACTCCACAGAAACTCTAAGGCAAGTAGGTACCATAATTCAAACACCACAGTTCAATCAATGTCCAGTCCAAACTTGGAGGCATTCTACATCCAAGTCATGCATAGTTGAAAAATGAGAACATTTTATGTTTGCATACTGACTTCGAGGATTAGATGTATGCCAAGGCCAATCATACATAACCATAGAGAACGTTTCACTTATTCATACAACAGAACCGGTGAATATAGGCATATGCCACTGTTGGATCCTCAAAGTTTCTTGATCTATGTTTTAATGTTTGGCATTGCAAAGATACTGTTGCGGTGCTGCTATAGGGATACTGCAGTATGAAGGCAGATTCTGGTTACAAGTATCTTTACTGGATATCTATGACCAGTATTTTAATCTTTTTGCTAAATATGAGAGTGAAGCTTGTAGACTTCTGTCATTGGATGTTTCTTTATCTTTAGTCTGGAAGTAACGATCTGGTGGTGCGAGAGTGGAAGTAGCTTAGGTTTTTTTAAGCAATTCGAGTTTTATGAATAAAAAAACCGTTGGTAGGAGAGTTAGGATTTGACGCATTTTGATTTTAAATTAATCAAAATTTAATTACTGAATTTTAATACTTAAAAAAAAAAGAAAGTACCATCTTCTATTGATTGTTTTTCTGGTATTGCAATTAAAATATTGAAAATGAAATTGCCGGAGGAAAAAAAAAAAGATTATGGTACTGGTCAAGACATTTCATAACAATCAAATTACCAAGCTAGGAATTGCAAGTGGGCGCCATGATAAACGATAGAATTATGAGAGAAAAGAAGGCAAATGTCAAGAAACTTTCAATACATGCTTAGCAGCTACAGAACTAAGTAAATTACAGCAGCTAAAGATGAAACCTCCTATATGTATGAACAAAATACCAAAATGCCAATCATACATATAGGAGGTTTCATCTTTAGCTGCTGTAATTTACTTAGTTCTGTAGTTGCTAAGCATATATTGAAAGTTTCTTGATATTTACCTTCTTTTCTCTCCTAATTCTATCGTTTATCATGGCCCCACTTGCAATTCCTAGCTTGGTAATTTGATTGTTATGAAATGTCTTGACCAGTACCTTAATCTTTTTTTTTTTTTTCTCCGGCAATTTCATTTTCAATATTTTAATTGCAATACCAAAAAAACAATCAATAAGAGATGGTACTTTCATTTTTTTAAGTATTAAAAATCAGTAATTAAATTCTGATTAATTTAAAATTAAAACGCGTCGTACCCTAACTTTCTTACTAGCGATTTTTTTATTCATAAAACTCGAATTGCTTAAAAAAACCTAAGCTACTTCCACTCTTGCACCACCAGATCGTTACTTCCAGACTAAAGATAAAGAAACATCCAATGACAGTAGTCTACAAGCTTCACTTTCATACCAAGCAAAAGGATTAAGATACTGGTCATAGATATCCAT